CGGGGAGGCTCCATCTATTGGTGGGGAGCTGCACCTGCTGGAAAACCGGGTACAGCGTCCCAGAACAACATGTTGACTTGTTTATGCAGACATCTGAGTATGGTAACTGATATTTGTACGGTCCATCCTCAAAGGAGGCGATTTATGACTAGGGTTACACACCTACTCAGTATCCTAAGTTGGTTGCCTACATGACTGCTATAATTTGATTGTGCGGTAGTAAACCCGAGTCCCATGGCTGCTATCTCCCTTCATTCGTGGAGCCAGGCTCTGTCACCAATGAATGGGCCGAAGTACATGTAGGCAAACTAACCTCCTGTTCCCCAACCCTCACCCTTCGGAACATGAGTTATTTGAACAATGTTAAACAATATTAAATTGTATTAGTTATCTTTTGAGACTGCTTCGAGCTGTGGGAATTTGGTCCGTATCCAAGTATGCAGTTGAGGTTCCTGTATCTCTTCACTCATCCTCTGAGCGCCTGATTTGTCGTGATCTGTTCTGGTACTTCTGCATGCGGGGGGTTTGGGGAGTACAGACTAATCCCCTAACCCCCAACCCCTAAACCCTCAACACATTACAGTCTCTTTCATTGCAAGTCGTGGTAAGCTAGTGAAGTGAAAACCAGTGGGAATTCCAGTGTCCCTACACAACCTTATAACGGGAACGAAGTTACAGGTTTGCAGGTTCTGCCCGTATCCACATTCGCATCAGGTGAAAACCAGTGGAAATTCCAGCGTCCCTATACAGCCTTATAACTGGAACGAAGTTACAGGTTTGCAGGTTCTGCCCGTATCCACATTCGCATTAGGTGAGCCCCTTAATGACGAAAGTTCCCAGCTCTCATATATCTCCAGTGGTCTCCTGCGTCTATTGATGTTGTTGTCCCCATATCAGTTGTTCGCCACAGTGTCTTGAAGACTTCCGGTTGTTCACATCGTCTGCAGCGGGTGTAGAGGCGGCGGGATGGTTGAGGCTCAGGGTGGGAGGGGGTCGAGAGGGGGTGGTGGCGAAAGACGGCGGGATGATTGAGGCTCACGAGACAGGGGTGGGTCAGGGAGGAGGTGGTGGCGGGGGTAGTGAGTGGGGAGTGGGATGGGTTACTGCGAAGCTGGGGTAGGGGCGATTGTGTGGTGGGGATTCTGAGGGATCAGCAGAAAGTTGGTCGGTAGGTATGGGACTGAGAAATCATCTAGGGGTCTTCTCTGCCAGAATGGTTCATCCGCCCTCCAATTTTTCCATCGTATGTGGAGGTCGTCTAGGAGGTCAGAGAAGGCGCGGTGCGGGTCTTGCCAGATCTGGCAGTAGGATTCCTTCAAAGCTTCTTTGAGAGTGGCATCTCTTTCATCGTGATAGTTTTGTTTCATGGTTTTCCAAGTATATTGTGAGCGGGACCTGATCTCTTCCTCTATCGCCTGTTGTGCTTGCTGCGGACCGTATTGGTGGTCTTTTCTCTCAAAGGAGCATCTAGCTCTCCAAGCTTGCATGAGAACGTGTAGTCTCATGCATGAGAAGAGGTTAGTGGCAAATGGAGTTCAGTGTCGTAGTAGGTGTTGGTTTTTGCCTAGCAAGATAAGGCCCAAGTCCCATGGGATATGTATGTTCATGAGCGAATGGAACGCCGCGTCCCACCACCTCCATATTTGGGCAACCATCGGGCACGCCAACAGGCAGTGTTCGGGTGTTGCCCTGGCGGGCAATGTCGTCCTACCGCAAAAGGTGCAGATGGGGGACAGTAAGCCTTTCTACTCAAGATCTATTCTCGAAACAAGCCAATCGGGGATGGGAAGACAGCGGTGTAAGATTTGCCATTGCAGGGACCTGAGGCTTGTAGGCATTAGTTTAGCATACTTGGTCCAAGGGAGGTTGTGCAGCAACTGTGGGTTCAAAGGTGAATCCCGCTCCCATCTCTGTAAGCTTGTTTGCCCAATCTAATGTTGTGGATAAGCTGCTTTGTACCCCCCTTTGACAGTATAGTCCCAATGTGCGTGGTTTGTTGGCCCGTCCATTCCCAGTCATCCAGGTCAAAGGGGAGTCGGGCAATGGACGAGGCAGGCTCATATGCCTGGTATCCGTTGTCCTGGTCGCCCACCACTCTCACGTTCATCAGGCCCGCCCACAGAGCCGCATCCAATGTGCACCTCCCATTATGCATATTGCGTACCCTGTATACAGTCTCCGGAGTGGGCAGGTCGGTGTATCTAACCACCCAATCCTGTGATTGAATTGTCGGACCTGTTTTAAGGGTTTGCTACCAAGCTAGAGGGAGGGTGTCTATCAGTTGGCAGGCCTTTTCTTCCACGTTTCTTACATGCTTCAGCTTGGCCCGCAGTTTGTTCGGCGAGGCCCAATTTTGCTCGACAGGGTCTCAGAGATCACCGACTGTGTAGATTCTTTTTTTTTCCCAGGAGAGCCACGATGAGTTAGTTGTGAGCAGAAATAGGTTGCCAGCTTCATCCAAGATGAAAGGGTTGCTGAACAGTGGCTGTCTCCATATGGAGTGCCACCTATTGGGTGGAGGCTTCTGCTTGGGGCCTCGTTTCCTCTTCAATTTTAACATGTTTGGCCAAAGGGGGTCGTTGGGGATGTCCTCCCTGGGGGCCAGCACCGTGCATGTGGCATGCCTGTGTCAGCGGGGGGCCCGAGATTGTCCAGCGGTTGTTGGTCAACCATTGAAAGGAATGCACACAGTTGGGGGGCATAGATTCAGGTGCCAGGCCAACAATTTGCAGACAGGCCAGAGGTGCCCATGTTATGTTATTTCCCATAAGCAGTCTGATTAGCACCTTGAAAATCAAGGTCTCACTCTCCCTTTCAGGGTCCAATATCCCCAACCCTCCTTTGGCTCTTGGTTGTGTGAGGATGTCCCAAGTCACCCCGTTCATGCAGCCCTCGGCTTTGGCGCTGTTTTTCCAAAAGTACGTGGTAGGCGCCTTTCTCAACCTGGTATATTGTTGTGGTTTCAGTGGCCACATTGCCAATTTGTACCATATGGCCGCGAGGATGGCATTGTTGATTGCCAGCGCCCGTCCCACCAGCGATGTATGCAGCCCCTCCCATCTTGCCAGGCGGTCGATGGCCATGTTCACAAGATTATCCCCGTGGTCCTGCGGAGGTCCCATTGCCGTTAGCCTTACTCCCAAAATCTTGATAGCATCTTCTTTTCTCGCCCATGATACACATGGGTCCGGTGGGGGGGGCAAGTCTTGGGGGTGGAGCCACCAGCCCTCTGTCTTAGAGCCCCAATTTATTGTCATGTCTACCGCCAATCAAAAAAGATGTATGGTTTGGGCTACCGTCTGAAGGTTGTCGGCATCTGCAAGTATAAGGATCATGAGTCATCTGCGAACAGTGACATCACCGGGATAAGGTGGTCTGGGATATCTGGGATGGGCACTGTACTAATTCTCGAGTGGGTTTTGATCTTCGCTGCAAGGGCCTCCATAACTATTACGAAAAGGATGGGTGCAATGGGGTCTCCGTGTCGTACCGACGTCTGCAGCTTTATTGGAGGCGAGAGGTGGCCGTTGAGCATTATGTTAGTAGTGGCCGGTCTATGAAAGAGCTGCACCCAATGGCAGAACTCGGGGCCGAAGTTCATTCTGATCAGGCACATATCCAGGAAACCCAGTCAACGTGGTCATACGCTTTTTCGAAGTCTATAAATAGTACAACCGCTTGGGCCTTGCGTTGCCGTGCATATTTGATGGTTTCATTGACCAGGAGGATGTTGTCATTGCGGTTGGGCATAAAGCCCATCTGATCCGGATGAATCAGCATGTTCATATGCGGCAGCAGTCGGATGGTGAGTGCCTTGGCCACCAGTTTGTAGGGGACTGGGAGGAGAGTGATGGGTCTATAATTTCTGATGTCCTCCTTGTCCCTCTTTTTATAGATGAGCGTAGTCACTCCTTGACCAATCATGCCCCCAAAGGAACCCTCTTTCTAGACGCTCGCTATATAGTCCATCAGATCGTCTCTGAGAAGGTCCCAGAAGCACACCCATAATTCTTTTGGGAAGGAGTCAATCTCAGGTGTTTTCTCGTCCTCCATATCCTACAGGGCAATCCAAATCTCGTCTGATGAGAGTGACTTGTCCAGAGCGGTTTTTTGTGTCGGTGTAAGGCATGGTTGCACAACTGGGAGTAGCTCTTCCCTGGCTCCCCGGACGTCCCCCAGGTTCTTATTGGGAGTTCGTGATGTGAACAAATCTGTATAGTATTTGGTTGTGTAGTCTGCAATTGTATAGGCATTTGTTGCGACCGGGGCAGTGTTGTCCAGGGGTTGTCTAAGCCTGGGAACAGTAGAGGCCCGTGCTCGGGCTTTCACTCTGTTAAAGAAGGATCTCGCTCCATCCGTATGTTCTTGTCTAATTTTGGCTTGTATCCTCCATGCCTGGGCTTGTCTTTGTAGATAGTCTTGGAGGTGCTCCCTTGCCTCTTGCAGTTTTTCGAAGGAGGGGATGTGCTGGGGGTTGTTCATGAGTTTGTCATCCCAATCTTCAAGTTCTTGCATGGGCCGATTCCAAGACCGCCTTGCGGTCTCTTGCACACTGGATGGAGAATTTCTTGGTCTTGTCCCTCAGTTGAGCAATGTCCTCATTAAACCAGGCCATGGTTTGTCGTGCTTCCGATTGTGGTTTTGTGGACCGCCAGTACTGCCAGAATTCATGAACCATGTTTGAATTTAGAGAGGGGCAACAGTGAAGTAGTGAACTTATAGAATCCAGACCCCCTCTTGATATGAGTGTGGAAAGAGAGTCCCAGCGTTATCATTATGTGGTCAAAGGATTTGCATGGGCTGATTGCAGTTATTTCCGCAGTTGTGATTAAGCCCATCAAATCCTTGGACACCAGAGCGAGATCTATGCATGAGTTAGCCAAGCCCCAGTCCCCTCTAGAGGACAAGCATGTGAAAGCTTTTCGGGCAGGGTGCAGTATTCTGTAGGCATCTTCCAACTCCTTGTTTGCCATCAGTTGTCTGAGCATCAACGTGTCCAGGCCCAGATCCGGGGTGAGGGTATTGCTGGATTCGATCGTTGGGAGGTGGACCTTCTATCCATCGTCGGATCCAAGGTGGTGTTAAAGTCTCCGATCATTATGGCTGGGGCGTCGTCTAGAATGTGCTGGTGCAGGGTAAGCCAAAAGTCCGCCCTGTCAGTGGGATCATTGGGTGCATAGACATTGACAAGGTAGAACTCATCCTCCTCATATGCAAATTTGAGGCACACCCACCGTCCTTTTTTATGGTTGTGTTGTACTGCCACCGATCTTAGTCTTGAGGATGGCGGTAGCCATATTGCCACTCTAGCCGACGCTCTGTCTATTGGTGGTGCTGAGTAGCATGTGTAGGGCCAAATGAATATGGCTTTTGCTGCATGTTGAGGGGTGTCTTGGAGGTGCGTTTCTTGGATGCATACTGCATCAGGCCACCCACCAGTAATCGGGGATTTGATCATATCCCTTATGGCATTTTCTTATTTGTTGATGCTTGGATAGGGCCATTAACATTTATTGAGCGAATGTCAATATCAGCACGGGCCAACTTAGCCGCCCATTGGGGGGGGTTTCAAATTCGGGGGAAGACAGGGGGGGATGGGGTCCGTGGGAGTGGGCAGTGGTGGTGAGTAGACAGGGGTGCAGCCATCCTTGTGGCCTGTGCGTTAAAGAGGGCGGGCATGGGGGGGTTGGCGGTGTGTGATATGGATGTGCTGGCCTGGGTATCAATTGGGAGTTTATGTCTATGGAAGTCTGTCATATGGTTCATTCTGATAATCTGATTCACTGTCTAGCAGGCGCCTTGAATCATTAGTCCTTCATTTTGATAGGGAGGACAAAGGGGGGGTCGTCCCAGTGGTTATGTTCTTCCAGCACATTATCCTCCAGAAATGTTTGGATGAAAGTCAAGACCTTTGACTGTGTCCAGGCAATGTTGGTTCTGAATCATGCAGTGTTGAGGCCCATGAGCTGCTGGTAACCAGGTGAAGGGGGCGTGTTGCTGCAGCCGCATTTTTGGATCCATGAGTAGTATGACGGGGATGATGCCCTTCGGAAATGAGAGAGAGGTCGGCAACACTACACCCAAAACACCTTCCGTGCTCGTCTCACGGACCCAATATTTGAGTCTTTTGAGGATAACTGCCTTGGAGGGGTTGCCCCTTCAGCCTTCCAACGTCAGGTCATCAGGAGTGTGGTTTGCGGAGAGGCAGTATCCTGTTGTGGTGGCCTGAGGCCCAACACCCAATGCCCCCGTTTTTTTATTCTGGTGAGGGGGAGGATGACAACCCCTGGTGGCATCACAACTGGGGCGTTGTCATCCTCCTCAAGTCTCACCAGTTGCCTCAGCCCTTTGGGGGAAGTTTCAGAGGTATGGTCTTCGTCTTGTCTCAACCAAGCATGCATCCTCATCATTATGGACAATGTCAACCACCGTGGGATGTTGTTGAGGGGGGTTGGAAGGGATTATCGCACATTTGTCGCCCTTGTTCTGCTGCTTGTCGTCCATGTGGACCGATGCATTCATGAGCTGGGGCGGTGGGCCCACAGCCTGTCGAATCGGTAATTGGCCTTGTTGCGGGTCACATCCAAGGTCTGGTGGGCCCACAGCCTGTCGAATCAGTAATTGGCCCTGTTGTGGGTCACATCCAGGGTCACATGTGGGGGTTGGGATGTTCTGGTGGCCTACGCCACCGTGATAGTTACCGCTTCTCGGCTGTGTAGAGGTCAGATTTGGGAGGGTATATAGCGTGTTACACAACTTATGAATCAGCACTTTGGGCCAAGCTAGGCCTTCATGGAAGAAAGCCTCAGCTTGCGTTCGCGTCGCCCATTGGGGGGGGGTTCGAATTCGGGGAAAGACAGGGGGGTATGGGGGTCGTGCGAGTGTGCAGTGGTGGTGAGTAGACAGGGGTGCAGCCATCCTTGTGGCCTGTGCGTTCAAGAGGGCGGGCGTGGGCAGGTTGTTGGTGTGTGATATGGGTGTGCTGGCCAGGGTATCAATTGGGCGTTGATGTGTGTGGAAGTCTGTCATATGATTCATTCTGATGACCTGATTCACTATCTAGCTGGCGCCTTGAATCGTAAGTCCTTCATTTTGATAGGAAGGACGAAAGGGGGGTCGTCCCAATGGTTATGTTTTTCCAGCACATTATCCTCCAGAAATGTGTGGATGAAAGTCTAGACCTTTGACTGTGTCTAGGCAATGTTGGTTCTGAATCGTGCCATTTTGAGGCCCATGAGCAGCTGGTGAGTAAACCAGGTGAAGGGCGCGTTTTTCTGCAACCGCATCTTTGGATCCATGAGTAGTATGACGGGGATGATGCCCTTTGGAAATGAGAGAGAGGTCGGCAACACTGCACCCAACACACCTTCCTTGCTCGTCTCACGGGCCCAATATTTGAGTCTTTTGAGGATAAATGCCTTGGAGGGGTTGCCCCTCCAGCCTTCCAACGTCAGGCCATCGGGAGTGTGGTTTGCGGAGAGGCAGTATCCTGTTGTGGTGGCCTGAGGCCCAACACCCAATGCCCCTCTTTTTTTATTCTGGTGAGGGGGAGGATGACAACCCCTGGTGGCATCACAACCGGGGCGTTGTCATCCTCCTCCAGTCCCACCAGTTGCCTCAGCCCTTTGGGGGAAGTTTCAGAGCTATGGTCTTCGTCTGTCTCAACCAAGCATTCATCCTCGTCATTATGGATAATCTCAACCACCGTGGGATGTTGTTGAGGGGGGTTGGAAGGGATCATCGCATATTTGTTGCCCTTGTTCTGCTGCTCGTCGTTTCATGAGTTGGGGCGGTGGGCCCACAGCCTGTCAAATCTATAATTGGCCCTGCTGCGGGTCACATCCAAGGTCTGGTGGGCCCACATCCTGTCGAATCAGTGATTGGCCCTGTTGTGGGTCACATCCAGGGTCTCGTGTGGGGGGTGGGCTGTTCTGGTGGCCTACGCCACCGTGATAGTTACCGCTTCCCGGCCCTGTAGAGGTCAGATCTGGGAGGGTATACAGCGTGTTACACAGCTCATGAATCAGCACTTTGGGCCAAGCTAGGCCTTTATGGAAGAAAGCCTTAGCTTGCGTTTGTGTTGGCCCGTGGGGTTTTTGGTCCTCCTCGACCCCAAATGTGTGTTTCGCGTATGCTTCAATTTTGTCAAGAAACTCATTTACGACGAGGACGATCGCTGCCCCCACATCCATCCAGTCAATGGCAGTCACATTCTCGTATTTCTCCACCGTTGCCAACACTCGCGGACTGTACATTAGGACAGTTTTTGCTTCGCCCCAATGTTCGTTTTTTAGTCTGTCTGCTGGTCTGTCATCCGACAGTGAGAATATATTCACTAAAGTCCATTCCATGAGAGATTCTAGCTTTTGTTTGACCTCGTCGTTGGCCACGATAAGTCGGGGCGGAGAGCAGTCTTCCTTGCTCTTTGATAGTACAGAGGTTGGCAGTTGAACTTCCATGTCCATAGGCGAGTATTGCTGGTGCTGTTCAGGCACCGGGGGGTCTATCAGGGCCGAGGTATCCATATCTTGGGTCTGGTGGTCTTCTATTTGGGGAATCGGCTCGTTAGCGATCGCCTTCAGCTGGTGTTTGTGGTTCTCAGGCATGTCAGTTTGATTTTCAGCTTGTTGTTGCCAGAACCTCTGTAGTTGTTCCTGCTGCTGCTGGAGCACCTGTTGGTGTTGCCAGCATAGCTGATGTTGCCATTGTAGGTGCATGTGCTGGAGGAGTTGTTGCTGCTGTATCGTTCTCTATTGGTGTTGTTGTTGGTGATATTGTGTTAGTTGGGCTTGCAGTAGGAGGTGGTATTGTTCGTCATGTTCCCTCTGCTGCATGGCCTGTTGCTGTTGAAGTTGCTGGGTTTGTTGCCTCGTTTGGAGCATCATGTGGAGTTGTGTTTGGTGCATGCCCTGTATTTCCTGATGTTGGGTTTGTACATGTTGTGCCTGCTGCAGTTGTGCATGGTGGAGTGAGTGGAGTTGCACTTGGTGATGGTGTTTGCAGGCCTAGGTGTTGTTGCTGGGCATTCTTCTGTTTCATTTGCTCCCACTCGTGTTGTGTCTGGTGGGTCAGCTTTTCCAGTAGCACTTGGCAGGGCAGTGGCTGTTGTTGTTGTTGTTGTTGTTGTCGGGCACCCTCCTGCTCTTGGCGTTGTGTGTGCATATCTGGGCAGGGAGGGATTTGATGCTGCAGCAGGGCTTGTGGTTGCTGCTGCTCGGCAAGCCCAATCATGTGTTGTTGTTGTTCCAGGCGCAGCTGCTCAGTGTGTATGATTATGTGTTGTTGTTGTTCCAAGCAGAGCTGCTCAGTGCGTATCTGTGGCAGTTCCATCTGTTGGGTCTGCATCTGGGTAGGGGACAGCGGCTGGTCCTGGTGTATGGTATCCTGCTCCCCGTACGGTTGGGAGATATCCGGGGTGTGGTGGAGCTGGGGAGGCCGCTCCAGTTGGTGTAGCAGTCGGGGCTGGTGATGTACCTGTCGTTCTTGTTGTTCCTCTATCACCCCTTTGAGTGACTTCCGGGAGGCAGCTTTTGGAATGTCGCTGGTCGTCAGCTTGGCAGGAAGGAATTTCCTTTCTCCTGTGATCTGAGAGACCTCTCTCGCTTGGGAAGTTGTCGCCACGGTGAGCGATTCCGTGAGCTGTCCAGTCCCTTCCAGGCCCTGGCTGTATTCCGCCAATTGTTGCTAGGGCTGCTCCCCGTCGTATTTGTGTTTGTGGTTATTGTCGTCCCCTCCCCCCTGAGGGTCATCCTGGGGGGGTGCGTCCTTAGTGTTGTGTGCCCAATTGGCCTGGATGTCAGTGCTCTTATCCGAAGTGTCCCCTACCTCCAGTCGAAGAGGCTGTATGTCAGAGTTGGCGTCTCGATGGAGAGGAAAGGCAACGCCTTTTATCTTATTGAGGAGCGAGTTCGCTTTAAGCCACATATGTTGCGGCGAGGGGAGTTTTGTGTTTCCCTTCTCAAGCCTCTCATCCTTGGGATCGTGTGCTTGGGCCGTTGCCTGTCCCCCCTCTGTGGGCTCCAAGGAGGCGACTTTACTGACAGATAAGGGGCTTGGTAGTTGTTGGCGGCCAGAGCTTATCGGTCGGGGGGGGCGCTGCTACGTCTTTTGCTGTCGGGAGTGGATTTGTGTTTCTACATGGGTCACCTCTAGCTCCCCTTGTGCTGGAACAGCAGGCAGAGGTGCGGGAGGAGGCACGCTTTGGGTCACCTGTAACTCCCCTTGTGCTGGAACAGCAGACGGAGGCGTAGGAGGAGGCACGGTTTGTGGCTGCCGCCCTTCTTCTTTGTTGGTGGCTTGTACAGTTTCCGGTGTCATGTCCTTCCTCCCTCCACTGTTCCTCGCAGTCTGCAAGTCGGCCCCTCGCATCCTTCAGAACTACCGAGGCCAGGGGTTGTACTCCTGTGGTCGAGTGAGGTGTCTGTCCCTTACCCTCTGTCCGGTTCGGCCCTCCGCCATTCATGGTTTTGGCTGCAGCAGTCGTGTCTTGGTGCTGCGAGTCAGGTTTCAAGGTTTCCTTCCTCTTGAGTTGGTACTTTTTGCGAGGATGGGGGGGGCCTTGATTTGTAGGGGAAGGTCTTGAGTGGTGGGCATTTCCTTTTGATGCGATGTTCCCTGTTCGGTTCGCTGGGGGTCGGCCCTCACTTCGCCCACCTTTCTCCAATTCTAGGGTGGCTTCCTATTTGCCTTTGAGTTTGGTGTTATATGTGGTCTGCAGTTTGGCACCCGAGGGAAAAGCCTATGGTTTGTCACTGCCCTGCCATATCCATTTCCCGGGGCGGCCATCTGCATATGCCCTCAAGATCCATCCCTCCAGCTCCCGCTCCTCAGGATACCACCATTCCTCAAATGAGGGGTGGGGGACCACTAGCCCTTTGATTTTGGCTCTGGCCCTGTTTTTCGGGCATGAATCATATGTGCTAAGGTGGCCTCTATGTTTGCAGGCGTAGCACCACGGATCCTAGGTATGGCTGACCGGGACCGAGAATTTGTTTCCCCCTTGAGAGTACCGCCACTCTTCATTGAGGGGAAAGGGGTAATATGGGTCCCATTCCACTACCACTAGGAGTGAGTCATCTCTTTTTCCCATAAATTGGCACAGATCTGTGATGTATCCTTTGATAGGAGTTATGTTTTCCAAATCAGTTAGTATTGCTCCCTGCACACAAAGCGGAGTGAATCTGAATTCCACCCAAAAGTTGGACTTCATCAGATACTCTCTTCTTTTGTTAGTCGATTGCGGGTTGGTCGGTGACCACGCAGCCAGCTGCACTGGGCAACCCCTGAATTGCAAGCCCCTGTTTCTTAAGACTAGGTGTTTATCTGTATGGTATAGGGCCACGACGGTAATGCAGTCAGGGTTATCTACCTCCACCAGAAAGTGGTCATGCACCAGCTGACGATCCTGCTTGATTCTGCCAAGCTTATCGGCGATCCATTTCACCTTATCATTAATCAGTATTGCTGACTGGGTCGATTGGAAGCGAAAGTGTACTGCCTTATGTGAGTAGATTGCATCCCGAGCTGCCTTTGCCTGGGCCAGATAGATCGAGTGGGAGTAGATGTATCCCTCCCTAACCTGGAATTTCTCTCCGGTTCCACACGCAGCTGTTGTATAAGGTGGCTCTTCAACGGGGCCATGGGATCCAAGGTGGAGGAGCTGAGCGCATCTGTTCGGGCTGGGGCTGAGAGCGCTCTGATCAGCTGGGGGGGTGGCTTATTGGATTTGTCCAGGCGGGCGGTTTCTTCCGGTCGAACGGCGCCCTGCTTCGCCACTTTATCCTTCTAGGTGTCACCCTCCTTTAACGGTTAGTATCCCATGTGATCCTCCCCCGCTCCCTGAGGCATGCGAGGTCCCATCCTCATGTTTGTTGTGTGGTTGGGGGGCAACTTGTTTTTGGCTTTGCTTTTGGCTAGGGGTCAGAGCTAACTTCTTCGTCTCCATCTTCTCGCCCTTCATGCTCTTCTTTCACTGGCTTGCTGAACGTAAGGTATTCAATGTGAACCCTAATATGTCTTGTTTGCGCATTTAGGGTGTGTGTTATCCGCGGTCAAGCCCAGTTATGTTTTCTTATAATTACGGTATGACTGGGCATTGACCACAAGCGGTCAATCCGCATGTGGGGGGAGTTTGTAGGGCCAGGTAGGGATGTGCAAGGTCAGGGCGGGGGTCAAGGGGGGGCGATAGTGGGAGAAGGTGGGTGTCGGGAAAAAATTCATGGGGCGTTGTTCGTCCTCTCTCTTCGTAACCGAATTGAATCTTCGCTGCGTATTCTGTCCGCTCCCAACTTCTCACCCCGCATCTATCACCATGTCGTGCGGTCGGTGTCGCTCCTCGATGCCCCTCTTCGTGTGTTGTCCTCTCTTTCACCTCACTCTTTCTCATCCGTCTTCCCTGCCAACTTCTTCGACGTTCTCTCCTCATGCTCGTTTATGCCGGGTTCCTTCTATCGTCAATGTCTGTGTCGTTTCTGTCGTCGGTATCAGTGTCTTGGGTCACTCCTGTTGGTATCGGTGTCTTTCAGCGTCTCTCCCTCTCTCTGCAGTGTTGTCTTTGTCTCTCGTTTTCAGTAGCGGCCTTTCCAACGTCCGTCGTTCCCAGCTTCTGCCAACCCCTTTCCATCGTAGCGATGTCCTTCAGCTTGCTCTCGTCGCAATCAATTGCACTGGCGTCAACGCATGATGTGCCCCCAGCGCGGAGGTTCCACTTCGGTTGCAGCGCAACCGCGGGGTAACATGTGCTCAAGCCACATGGCTATGGCACATCTATCTTACGGCCATATCCATCGGGTTTACGCGGATCTTGGCAGGCGGGCTTAGCCGTCCGCGGGGCGCAAGGCACTAGCGCGGATCCTGGGGGGCGGGCTTCATTGGGACAGCGTCTTCAGGGATTCGAGTGATCTTCATTTTTTTTTTATTTTTTTTTGAATTTTTCGTAATGTCCTTATTGGTCCGCAGGTTGGCTGATAGGGCTTATGTGATGATGAGAAAAAGGAAGGGTGTTATAGGGTCGCCCTGGCGTACGAATAACATTGAGAATCGAAAATGCGACAGCGTCTTCAGGGATTCGAGTGATCTTAATTTTTGAATTTTTCGTAATGTCCTTATTGGTCTGCAGGTTGGCTGATAGGGCTTCTGTGATGATGAGAAAAAGGAAGGGTGCTATAGGGTGGCCCAGGCGTACGGATAGCATTCAGATTCGAAAATGCGACATTCCAAGGACTTCGGACCAACAGTGCTACGGACAGAAAAGGTTGGCAGCGCCAGCCAAAAGAAACAAAACAGTGCTACAAAACAGTGTTGTGGCGGCTCATTTTTATTTGGCGCACAGGGGGAATCTGCCTCGGCAGAAAGAGGCTTGGAGATGGTGGTGGTTTAAGGACCTGCTGAGCCATCAAGACACACTTCTTACACTATCAAAGGCATCCTTACCTCCTATACTCTTTTTCCCAATCTGCAATTTCGCCTGCCTCTAAAGTACTAAATTGTCCAAGGTAAGGGCTTATCAGGTGCTGTGAACTTTTTGTTTGTTTGTTTGTTTAATAAACGGTGTCGTGAACCTTCGTGGTCCAGTAGGCCAAGCCTTTCTATGACATTGTGTTACCCAGCACATTCTCATGGGTCGGTGGGTGGGTACTGGTGTTTTGAAGGGGTTCCAAGGAGGGATCACTGTTCACTTAGAGCTGACCATTGGAGCAAGCAAGGAAATGTTTGGTAGCCTCTACCACACATGCAATCCCAGATATGACCATAAACAGTAGGTCCAAAGGGAGAATTCCCTCCAAGCCTTTCATATAAACCCCAAAGCAGGAACTCCCTCACCCTCACAAAAGGAAGCTACCTCCACGCAACTAATCCCCGAAGCAGGAACTCCCTCTCCCTTACAAAAGGAAGTTACCTCCACACTATTAATTCACGTGGCCCTGATGTGGTGGCCATCCTTTTTCTTTTTACTTAACAACTTCAGTTCAGGGGCCCCTCACTTAAAGGGGTGATAAAAGCATCCCCATTAAGTGGGTCCCCATTGTGAAGGCTCCATCTATTGGTGGGGAGCAGTACCTTGTGACGAACCACTTCCCGACCCCGTGCTATCTTTCGTACCCCTTGGCTCAATTCTTTCCTTTGCATCATGTTGGCCCAACAAAGCCCCCGTCGCTTTCTTTGATTTCAGGTGCCTTGTTCAGGACCCCATTTTTCGGAGGTTCTATTGATTTTTGGAATTCTGCTTTTTGTAATTCGGGAAATGCATGGGAAATGGCGTGTGCCTTATCGAGCGCACTAGGAATCGGGATCGACAGTTAGGAATTTCGGAATAAGCGGAACCCGACGTGTCTTTTTTGTGCATGAATGTTCTCGGTCACGTCGGAAAAAACTCTAGGAATTTTGTGAGAATACGGACAGGCATAGGACTTTCTTTTCCCGCGTCGACTTTCGTGCGCGGATATGGTGATTTCAATTTTTTTATTGATTTAGGACATAGGCAAGCTGTAACTGTTTTGGTGCCTTTTTCTTTTGTTGTCGGCGCCGCGCATGCGAGCTTCCTCCTCCTTATTTCCCGCGTCCTTCTTCCTCCATGCTCTTTTCTCTCTCCCTTCCCCCCCTCCTCTTCTTCTCCTATCACAACTGTTTTTCCCTCTTTCTGTTCTTTGCGCGCCTGTTTTCCCTTTCTTGATCATCTGAATCTTGGAGCCGTCTCGCGCTGCTTCTCGCGCCTCTTTCCTTCTCGCTCTTCAACCTTGGCTCGCGAAGCCCGGTTGATCCTTCGAGTACCCCCGCTCACCAATCAGATGCGTTGAGTAAGAGGATCTTCCTATTGTGCGACGAATCTGATTGGCCGAACATTGGGTTCCGAAGGATCAACATGGCTTCCCTTGAGCACCCCTCGCTGAATCTTCTCCTCTTACACCTCGATTTCCCCTCTGTCTTCTCCCCCGTCTGTCTTCTTTCTCGCAACTATAAATTCCGCAAGCGCGCCCGCAACCCTCTCTTGCGTTTTCAACTCCCAAGCCAGCTTCCCGGAAGCAGTGGCTAGGTAATGCGTTTGGTGCGAGTCGAAAAGTCATGACGGGCTGACTGTAGGCTGGCCGGTTGCGAGCTTGATCGCCACGACGGACTGTGGGATCCGGGCGAGCCGTATCGAGCTTGCGTCAGCGGGGTGACGATCGCAGCGGCGGAAGTTAGCACGCAACGGCCGGGATCGTTGGTGCGGGTATGAGGATCGGTAATTGGAGTTGGATGGATGATTGGCCCGAGGCCATATTAGAATTTCACGTCGAATGCGCCTTCACTATTGCGGATCATTTTCTTTTGGTGTGAGTTCACGGCTGCGACGCCGAGCATTCTCTTTTCAGATCCCAGTGTCTCCTGTCTCGACATTTCTCGTCTATCTCTCTCATCTCTCTCTTCGATTTGAATGATGATGTGTTATGAGTGTGTCTCTCCTATGAACAAAAGTGAATCCTCGTGATTTCCCGCGCAGAAGAACTTCTTCCGGAATTCTTCCATTAGTTTCGTGGGTAATCCCCGGATGCAAAGGAACTCAATTTTCTTGTCTTGTGAACGGTGGATGCGTGTGTACTATCCCCCGATTTGTTTTTGATGCACCATTGTCATTTTCGCACCTTCCACAGTGGATATAGGCATGGAAAGGAAGACGTTTGTATGTGAATTTTGTTTTGGTTAGACCCAGAGCTCGACGGGATCTTGTTCGAGAATGCAAGAGTGTTTAGATCTGTTGTTCTTAATGCATTGCGCATGCCTTATACTGCACGACATCTGCAGACAGTCTATGGGGCAGCCTCGAAAGAGCCAGGCGCCTCGGATTTTTGATCTGGTCTGCTGAACCTGAGTCGCGGGTTGATCCCTCGAAACTCCAACTCGATTATTGCATGGTTGTACGGGCTTTGTAAGATGCTTCCCTCGTGGCGAAAGGAAGGAAAATGTTAGTTGGGTTTTACGATTGTGCTTTTTGATGACGTCCCGGGGTTTTTGCAAACTCGTTCCGATTGATTGACATGTGGACTAACGGGCGCACCTCGATTGGGTGTCAGCCTTCCGTGTCTCTCACGCCAACGCGCCCCTTCCCTTACAACAAGGAAAGGACACGTGTTTGCGAGTGGGACGTACGAGAAGTTGTCGCACGGATCGGTGGGCGATATTACTTCCCTCTCGAAAATCGTTGCTCTGGATTCGTGGACGCGGACTTTGTCATTGTCGATACGCTCTTCCCGCCTTACTCAGTATTGTTGCCATTTAACGAGTTGATCGTCATTCCGTGGATGGCAGTGGCGCCCCATTGGCCTCGAACTCTGTGCACCGAGTGCCAGCGTTTCGATCGCTACGAGCAAAAGGGTTTCCACTACCTTATACGGAGTGAAGACGAGCACAAGGAAAGAGCCACGCGGCTGAGACCCTCCACGTCGGACTCGGAACTGACCAATGAGCGACGTCGAGACTTGATACGGAAACGGGACACGCGGAGCATACCGAAGTCCTTTCGCTCTAAACGAAGAGTCGTAGCGTGGTAGGAAGTTCGACAATACTTTTTGGATTGAATTTGGGTTTTTCTCTTTTCGCGCCGTGCCCACGCGCGCATTCCGTGACGCGCGAAAGCAACCGACTTACTTCATCGGGCCAACACGGGGGATTTCAGTTTTGTCTGTGTCCCCACACTCAATTTTCCAAAAATCCTTGGCACAACCATCTTGATGTTTTCCTGGGCCGTCTTTTCGGACCCTTAGCACTCCGAACGGAAGACAGCACAGGGCGTGAGGTTGGCATCGGAGCCGACACGTGTCGGTTCTGATGATAGTAAGTCGAGTTGGCGAGAGGTAGAAGAAGATCTCAACCTGCTCGTCGAGATCGCCCGGTGACCAGATCAAGATCTGGTGAGCCTAGACCAGCTATGCCAATGGACGACGGCAACGCAGCCTCCCCTAGGGTGATTGTTAGTATTCCCGCCGCTTTTCCTTTCTTTCCTAATCACACCCACCCCGAAGCTTGGTTGGAAGCCGTCCAAGCTCAAGGATATAGCGCGGAAGATCTCCCGCGCGTCATCACCTTGCTGCTTCGCAACACGGCGCATTATTGGTTTAGGAAACACAGATGGGTAGATTGGAACACCTTCAAGCAAGCGTTCTTGGCCAGATTTGATACGGTCAGCGAAGACGCCACTTGGTATGTGCTCAAAACTCGACCACAAGAACCAGGGGAATTGCTGCCTGACTTCGTGGATCACGTTGGACAAATTAGGGCGAGATGAAAATTTCGCCCGAGATTTGCTCATCGATCATCTACGAAATCCGGCGCTAAAAGCTAAGTTGCAGAAAAAGGTTCCCCCTAAAACGAACCAGTTGTCCGCTATTAAACCAAATCGCTCGAGTTAGACCTGACGGATACAAAGAAGTATATCAGTCAGGGAGACGAAGACATTAGAAATATGATTCAAGATGTAGCGGCGAAACGACGATCGTGGTTACGAGCCGTAGGACGATTCTATCCCCGGCCTGATCATGACCTTCCTGGAGGATTCGCCTCTGATATCCCGCCAGCTCTTTCTCCCCCTCCTCCGACTCTCTCAATGAACCAACAGGTAGCAACTGTTAAACCCAGAAGCTCCCAGGATCCTGCCTCTATGTCCATAACAAATATGCACTTGGCACAGATGTTCCATACAACTACTGCCAAGCAATCTGAATGGATGAGCAATCTGGTCCAAATACAGGCGGCTCACATGGATCGAATGAAACAGACTATGAGCAGGCTAATTAAGCCCAACCCGGCTCCTGCTCGATCTACCCCTGCATCGTTCCCACTTTTGCCTGCCCCGCCTGCACCTGGACATGCGCCACAGTTCCCTCATGCAGCTAATTTGACAGGGAAGATCGAGTGTTACAATTGCAAACAGCACGGGCATTTTGTCCGGGACTGTCCGCAGCCAAAACGAAATCAGCCCCCACCTGTCGCAGCCCCCGTAGCTCTAAATCAAGGACGAGTAGCTGCACTAATGGATACGGCCCGAAATGAGGAGATCATTGCGTACGCTCCTGAGCGATCTTTCCCCTCAATAGCAGTTGCATCGACCTCGGGGACTTCTTCTTCCGAAGATGCTGACGTGGTTGATCCGGTCGAATACCTTCATCTCGCCGGCATGGTCGGAGCAATCCGACCGGCCCAGGACGATCTTGAATGGGTCGAACGCGAATCTAACCCTGGACCACAGTTTCGGACGGGAAAAATTGATGTACTACGAACGTTTAAGCAACTGGATATTCGCGTTCCGGTCCCAGTAGGACATTTGCTCACCATATCCGAAGATGCAAATAACAAGATGTTGCAACAATGTTAGAAGAATCAAAAACGCTTTACATACCAGCGCATACAACGAATGTTGAAAAAGAAGAAGGAAGAAGGGTCAGAAGGTGTAGCACCACCCGAACTCGAAGTTGGTGAACCCGAAGCGGCGTGAGTAGCTACGATTTCTTTAGCTGAGAAATATCATTTCGTGCGAGTTCGACCAGTGTTATGGAAAAGTGCAGAATGTGATTGTGAAGTATGGGGCAAACCTTTTAACGCCCTCATCGATACTGGCTCCTCTGCGGTCGCCATATCATTAAATACGGTGAAAATAACGGGACGACTCAACTCGATTCTCCCTCAATATGGCAAAGACAATTACGTCTCTGCTGACAAGGAAGCAATGAATATCGTAGGAGTCATTGAGAATGTGGTCGTGAAAGTTGGACGAGTACACGTCCTCGTTAACGCCTTGGTCATAGATGTGCACTCATATTCGGTATTGTTGGGACTGCCTTGGGCAATGGCGGTAGGTGCCCGCATGCATTTCGATTCCAAACAGTTGGTGCTTACGCAAACAGGTGGAAAGCCCCAGACAGTTCCGTTGCGGATTTCTACCCAAGCAGTAAAAAGGAATCCTAACTCTGGTCGGATAGGGATGATTCAAGGTCCCGATCACGAGGAATTTCCATCTCCGGATGATAGTAGCGGATCCGAGGAGCAGGAGTGCGAAGAAGAGATGCCTAGTGAAAGTGAATGGAAACACTTAGTCGAACTTTTCGAGCACGAATCTCCAGAGGAATTTCGGATGGTTCCCAGAACCACACGAACTTTCCACTTGAGTCTGGAAGATAACACGCTCGTGCATGCGAGAGCCCAGGTCAGTTCCTCGACCTTTCTCGGGAAACCCATCTTGCAAATATTTGACCTAGCGGACGATTTGGAACCCCCTCGCATTTTGTACGAAGGAACACTTTCCCTCCAAGCACGCTATCAACAGGTGAAACAATACCTTGATGTTTCTGTTTCCCCTCCAAGGTCGCTACTTACAACAGGAGCGACCATCGCTCTGATAAAACGGAAAGTTGAAGTTCCCGTCGACGATGTGCCCAATCTAATGCAGGAAATGGTGGATTTAATAGGACTAACCGTGGAAGAAACTACGGCTGATTCGGAAACTGACGCCGAAGTTGAAGAAACCGAGATGATTAGCCCTGCCGAATCCCAGATGATTGCGATTGTATTTTCTGTTCGCACTAGCAGCTCTATTTTCTCTAGCGTCCATGACCGACGAAATCAACCTGATGATTGGATCGACATGCCTCTTGAGATACCCGATCGACCGACAGTCACTCTCCCGAATCACGTTGTAGGGCCAAACCCCGGTAGACTTTCGAGCCTTGGTCGACCCCACTACGGGTCCCAGTTGGCTCGGCCCGCCCACGCTCATGCTCAGGGCGCGGGCCGTTCGTCCCGAGGTCACCCCCACGTAGTGCTTTGAGATGGATGGGGGTGGGCCATCGCGCGAGAGAGCTTTGACATTGGGGATGTAGCTCAGCCCTCACGTCGGGTGGTAGTCTCGCTGGTCATTCCGTAGCGCCGAATCTTTTTTGATTTTTTGTTGTGTTCTCAAGCAATTGCTCCTTCCAATACGCAGGCGGTCCAGGGGTTCTTTGAGAGTTTTCTTCTTTCGTGCGTAGGCTAAGCGTCATCCTTAGGCCGCACACCATTTCCCTAAACCTTGTGTTCCTATGGCGTCATCGGGGTGCGGCGAAGCCGTCCTCCCCCTCGCCTCTATGCACCCCTTGAGCCTCATAATTCACACTCAACTTATTGAAGCAGGCCCCTTAGTCTTTTCGGGACCTTTACATGCATGCACACATGACCTCACATTTCCCTTGGCAAGATTGTACGCCCTTCCCTCATTCGCACTCCAATCTCAAGCGCAAAGGTCATTTTCATGGGTCGGCTTTATGTTAAGGGTCCCTTAACCCCTTTGTCCTTCTTCCCTTTTCATTTTGATGCCATATTCCTCCCGGCCCTATTTCGCTCAAGGCATCCTTAGCCTTCACTTACCTGCACAATCCCACACGAGCAAAGATCCATACAATCCTCCGTTGGGGGTCAACACATAGCCCTTCCCACATGTCTATCCTTTTCATACTCTTTGGCTTTTCTTTGTTCCCTTTCCTTGCTCAATCAGCCCATCTTCTTCTCATAGTCATGCAGTCGGGGAAATGGTTGAGTCAGCTGAAATTGCTTTTACTTATACTCAATCTTCCCTTTTACATAATGCGATGAAAAATCTTATGAAATAATGTCATTATTATGGTTCAATGTCTTCAAGTTTTTTTTGGTAAAAAAAAATATGATTTTTAATATGCGGTTACCATTCCCCTAGTGTTCTTGTAGAGAACTTGAAGTTATCTCTTGCTAACTATTTTCGTTTTTATTGAATATGATAATATAAAATAAAAGATATGAAGTTATGTTAGCTATTCAAACAGAATAGGTACGAAATCTACCGACGTAAGATATACTATGTTTAAAAGAAATGCAAAAAATATTAACTTGGGCAAGAAAAACTTTATTTTTATTGACAATATAATACTTTTTCATAGCAAAGCTCAATATATTAATTAATATCGGTAGTAAATAAATATTTTCAATCCAACATTTTGGGATTATTAAATTACGCATTCTCTTACTTATTCCCCTCCTCCTTTCTTTTTTAATTCTGTACCTTTTTTTTTTTTAACAATAATATATCAAATTTGTAACTTCATGTTTATCCTATGAAAATTATTATATTGTCTATTAAATTATGCAAAAATATTTCTTTACGACAAATGACACGATATGTTACCCATTCTCACAAGACAACAAAACATTTTTCGTCAAAATCGGTGTTAAAGACGTTGCGTCAAGTACTTCAAAATTCTTCACATAATTTTTTTATCGCTTTATATTAACTCAAAGTTCGAGATGTCTTTACTATCATGCTTATGTCGTCGATGATGAAATAGCCCTATGCTTTTTCATAACATAGTTTATACTGTCATAAAACATTTTGTTTCTGTCAGTTCTTACTTAGACAAAATTTCAGATATCAAGCCATGTAACTCACATTGTTCAATATGTTGGACTTTGTCATCAACAGTCCAAAAATAACGAAAACGTTATTATGTCATAATACAATATTACAAAGTGTTTTAGTTGT